AAAATATGACTGTGCATTCTATGACAAAATAATGTAGGTAAAGACTGTAGAGGTACTCTCATCCTGAACTCTAAAAATCCAAGCTCAAACAATGAGAAATTACTGTGCTTAAAATTAGTACACCAGAGTTCAGGCTGGTTTGCTCACTCTTAAATCACCTGTTACAATGATCCAATACTGCTTCACTGCGGCCTAAGTAAACGTTCCCTTTTGTCAGGGAGGAGTTTCACAGTGATCTCACCACTCGTACGGGCCTGCGCTCTGAAGGCTAAGGGGAAATGCTGGTATTTTTCCCTCCGCAGTGCTCCGAGGTGAGGCTTGGCTGGTCACCTCCACAGGGCAGAATGAGTTAGCAGTCTGAGTCAGTTCACCAGAATGCATCTCATGTGCTCTGTTCCAGGTTTCGAATAACAGTGTCTGGTCATGAGGAGGCGCCTGGCTGAGAGCACAGCAGAGCCGCAGGGAGGAAACAGGCCTGAATAGTTCGCTCCAGCTCCAAATCAAGGAGACAGAGTTTCAAGAGTTGAAAATCCCCATCGCTCCACGTTTAAAGGAATTGTTTTTGAAATAAAAATGTGGAAGCAATGGATAAAATGTGCTTAGCAGGCAACAGGTTCACGCAGATCATTTTATGTAAGTTTTATTCTTTTTAAGTTGTCTGGAAAATGACTACTTTTATTACCAGTGTAGGTTCTGGGTTGAATTGTGTCCCATCCCAAATTTATATAGTAAAGATGTTGAACCCTTAACTCCCAGCACCTCAAAATGCGACCTTATTTGGAAATAGGATCAATGCAGATGTAATAGTTAAGATGAGGTCATCCAGTATGACTGGTGTCCACATGAAAGGGGACATGTGGACACGGAAACGCATAGGGGTGAGGTGAAGATGAAGGCGGATGTGCACGATGATGCTCTGCAAGCTGAGGAACATCAGAGATTGCCAGCAAACCACCAGAGGCTGGGCAAGAGACACGGAGCAAACTCTCTGAGCCCTCAGAAGGAACCTACCCTGAGCCAACACCAGACCTTAGACCTCTAGCCTCCAGAACTGTGAGACAGGATGTTTCTGTGTAAGTCGGCGGTGCTCTGGTATGGCAGCCTGAGCAAACTGATACATATGTATGCAGGAATGAATTATAGTGTGATCGAGCAAAATAAAAAGCAGTCAGTCATTACCTGGTTATTGTTTTTCCTTAGGAAAGATGATAATGACTAAAAGCCCTTCAGGAGATGCTTAAAGGTGGTCTAATAATAGTGCATGTTCGCAAGAAAATCATTAGTGTAGCACGGCCATGCACAACCTCAGTTACTTCAGTGGTACCTCGTTAGAATGGAAAGATTTTTCTCTTCCCCTTAAATCTTAACATACTGCTCTACTAGGGAGTCAACTAGGAGGCACAATCACCACTTCAATCTGCTGGCAAAAGAATAAAGGCAAAGTTTGTTTCAGTTAAGCACATGCTTTAATATCCACAAATTCTCTTCTTTCTTTCTTTTTTTCTGATTAAGGCCTTATTATTCTTAATTTTTATACCTTTTAGTTTTAAAAATCAATTTTGTTTTTGGCAACTTTTATTTTTCCCTAACGGTTCCTCCACTAAAATGGAGGATTAAAACAGAATCGAAACCACCTGCGTTCCTCTCCTGATAAATAAACTGGCAAGCAACGCCGAGGACCAGGTACAAGGATGATTTAAATGGATTCCAGTCTGCAGTGTGTATGCCCCACAGGATATGTGCTACAGTCAGACTCAGAATAATCTGGAGGCCGTGCAATGGGACTATGGTGTCTTCTCCATGGTCCTAGCTTCCAAGTCCTCTCTGTAAGAAGGCCTACCCCTCTGGCCATGCTTCTAATAGGGCCATTTGTTTATTATTGCTCCTCAAAGTCACATTCACTCTGACCTCATACACTGAGCCAAGCACTGAAACTCGGTATTATAATTATTTGCTTTCTATGGTCGATCTTTCAATAACTTCTATAACCGTGATTAGATTACAACTATCTTTTGTGATGTGTGCTGCAATAAAAATGAGAGACACAGGCTTTAGTAGCTTTCTCCTGATAATGTAGATGGCCAGAGTTAACCCATCTGTCAACGGCGCTGATTTCTATCTCCCAAACCAGTGCTTCGATCGGAAGAACATGCTGTGTATGTTGCCAGGACACAAATTCCTCTGATTTTCTCAATATTTCCACCCAAGAAAATGAATTGGGTCAGCAGGCAAATAAAGGCCACGCCACGTACAGCCGTGGAATTGCAGTGCTGCACAGGCCTGTTGCCAACGTAAGGAATCAACTTTCTCATTTCCCTGATGTGCCACAGGACCTCCCGCTGATTGCTTCCGGTGACAGCAGCTAACTGTTTGCAAAGCCGCCCGATCCATTTCTGGACAGCTGGACGAGCAGTACTGTCTACAAATATGTGGACCATATTTTATTTATTGTGGGTCAGCCTTCAGCCATAGTTGTCTGGAAGAGACTAATTGGGAAGGAACAAATAGGTTGACTTGGATGCACAGTTAGGTGGCTTTGCTTTTATAGCTATTTATTTACATTCAAAAGGAAATAAAAATCACATATCAAAGGGACAAATTTTAGACACCAATAGGTACTAAGTATTTGTATTTACCAAGTACCTACCATGTGCCCAGCGCTGGGCCGGGAAATTAAAGGAAGTTAAAAGTCAAAGATCATTACCCTCAATTAACTTAAAATACTGTCAAACTATAATTACATATATAAGACAAGTTCAAAATTAATGGAAGCTATAGTACAGTATAAGTCCTAAGTTAATCATTTAGACTAAATTTTGCAAGGGGTCACAGGATGGTTATAAAAAATGGAGAATGTATAAGGGTCATCATGAAGGAGCTAGGCGTTGACTGTGCTTTGGAAGACACATGAGATTTATAAAGTCATAGGGACTAAGACTATTTCTTGAGAATATATCTGGAGTTAAAGGGCAATCAGACAGCTGTTCCAAAACATACAAAATCAGATAGCGTGGATTCTGTCATTATGTTGCAGAGTGAGGCCCCCAGGAATGGGAAAGGAATGCTGAAATGTAACCAAGTACCGGAGGTGCGGGGAAATGCCACTGTATCACAGGAAAACCTACCGGGAAAACCAAACCCTGCCCTTAACTTGGGGATTTTCCCAACTGACAGATTGAATAAATAATGTGCATTTTCCCTTTCAAAGAAGACATAGAATGTCACTGAGCTCCATTGCCACTTTTCTGTCATTTTTAATATCCCCATTATGAACAGGTGAAAAGTTCCCATTCAGCTGATAAGAGTTTAACCTGTATACCCTCTTTATATGCACAAATGTCCTCCTCCAACTTCCCAGAAGATCATGTAGCACTTCCAAAGATGTATTTAACTGCCTAATTACTGAGCCTCTATGTAAATTACTGTCAAGATTAAGATGATCATTTTATCATTTTTTCAGCTTGATAAACATTTACAGTTTAACCTATCTGACAAAGCCCTTTGTATACCCCTATAATATAAATGAAGTTACATTAAAGTTACCATAAGTCTCTAATAGTAATAATAGCTTTCAAGTACTTTGCTAACTACAGACAGTCCCCTAAGCAATTACAAGATGTTCTGTGTTAATTTAGAATGAAATTCCAAACAAGGCATTTAAAACCTAATAAGATGCCATTAAATGAAGGGAGGCAGGGGAGGGAGGAAAGAGAAAGAAAACCCTAAGGCTTGAACTAGGAGAAATGATTCTCAGAGCTACTGACCCTTGCAAGATCCACAATTTCCTTGGACTTTTAGACACAAAACAGATTTCTAATTGAAGGTGATTATCTGGTTACTACACCCCAAATTGCATGTCTTTCTTGTATTGAGTTACATCAACATCTAATTACTTGAAACAGTTATCTATTTGAAAGTCCATAGAAACTGTTGAGCTTCTACATACAATGAGAATGTGTTCCACCAACTATGAGAAACCATATAACCACCAGGCCTGATTATCTTTAGTGACAACAGTCTGCCTCCTGGTACACATATGGATCCAAGAGCTGAATTACAATGTCAATCAACTGGGAATAAATTATACAGAGAAATCACAGAAGAAACACCTGGCTTGCTCTTGAGTTTTCTGAGGTGTGGACACCCAGATGCATGGCCTGCTATTCCCCAGAAATATACATATTGTTGTAGTCACCATCACCATGAGAAAAAAAATAAAAGTGTAGGAACATACAATTCTAAAAATTGAAAGACAAATTTCTATACTGCAATTGTATCTCCAGAAATGTGACTTGAGAGTTCAGTGCCTCAAGCAGAGGTGGACAGCTTGACCAAGGCAATATAACAGCAAAGAGATACGCACAGTTCTGCACAGCACAGATATGCCTCTGTAAAATATAATTCCCATTAGTGGGGTTAATTAAGATTAACATGCAAGTCGTTGAAAACCCCAAAGTAGACAAAGGATAATTTACCAAGGAAACACACAAAGACTAGAGTAGCATTCACTCTGAGTCATTCACTGAAACAATTGAAAGGAGGGTTGTATTAAAACTTGAGTTGTCACCACTGATTACCAAAATAATATGCATCCAATCAGCTTATGAAGGCCAAAGGACCTTATTTTCTTAGAAAGATTCTTGAACAATTCAGGGCGGTGCACAGAAAAAAAACAGACGTGAACCCAATCACATATAAAATAATTGCTATCGAACAGGTTATACTCACACACATGCATACATGAGTGTGTTTTAGGTATTATTTTACTGGGATGAATCAAATAGCACTCTTCTTGGGAATCTAGGTTTGGCATTTTTCATCGACTTAGCATAGTGTTTTTACCCAAAACAATAACCTGCATTTCTAATCAAACATACCACAAAGGAGCATTCACAGCAAAGGACTAACACTGACTTGTGTGGCAGAGGGTGCAATATCCCAGGAGCTCAGGCTGCAACGGTGTAAATCGGTCATTGCAGAAAAAGCATTCCCACCCTTACCTCCAGGGTCATGTTCACGGTACTAATGGCCACTTTTATTTCTCCATCTGACAGTTCCTTTAGATCCTGCAACATTGTCTGTTCAATATTTAAACCTGTGGATGAGAGGGAAAACAGTATGCTATATTTGGGGAACTTTTTTTTTTTTAGTAATATCAAGGAATGATTATTTAAAGAATTTACCCTGCCAATTTCAATATATTCCCCACCAATATTGCTTTTATCCATAATAAACACACATACATTAAGGCAAAAATCACACTGGTGACAAAATTTGCATTATTATCCCAGCAGGTAAAAGAATTCACCTTTTATAATCCAAAAGAAGAGTCTTTAGTGTCAGGGTACTTAAAAAGATGTGGGTGGGACTAAGAGAGAGAATGAAGATGCTGAGCATCGGGCAGCTGGGAAAGGGACAAGGGAAGGAAGTAGAGAGCTGGACCTGCAGGACAGGGGCTGCCACAGACTCCACCAATCAGGAAGGAGCAGGGAAAGAACACTACCCTCAACCCCCACACCCCGCCTGTTGCTACTGACCCCATTGATCAACCCCAACCAGAAGACAATAATCATCAGGAAGCCCAGAAGGTTAAATACTCAGGCTCAGCCTCTGGAGGCCCAGAGCAGACACGGGCAGAGGTGGGGGGAGGTAGGCAAATGAAAACTGTCATTTCCATGCAGTCTGGCCCAATAATACTTAACAAGGCCAACATTTGCTTTCCGCCTGCATTTAGATGAGTCCTCCCATCTTTTCTAGTATAATTGTATTAAAATGAACTTTATAAAAGTGACCCATAAAACTGTCCTAATTAAGCTGGTCACCCTTGTAATAGGCTCTGGTATAGGAGCTACTGAATTACTTAAATGATGGGAGGAATAATCCAGAGTGGTGAGATTATCCAGAACTGCAACGCTTTAGTCAGCTAATGTGTTTCAATAAAGTCTATGTCCAAAAAACTGGAAAGGGTCTAGCCTGGCATTTAGTAACTTCGCCCTAGGTTACCGTACCTGATTAGCCTATCCTCTTGGGAAGGAGACCCATGAGAAAGCCCAGCAAAGCACATACATCCTCCCCAGATGCATGAAGACACCAGAGTCAATCACTTGCCTCCTCCCAATTTAGAACATGCTCAATCACAGCAGTCTGGGGAAACACACAGGTACTAAATATTTTTCTTCGACTCTAAGATTGAAAGGCTGTAATTTATCATACTATGGTATGAAATGATTTATAGACTATATTATGACATTAAAAGTTTGGCCTAGTTTTAAAGATGAATGACAAAATGCATACCATCGTGCAGGTACACATGCGCAGATCCACACAAGCGCACCTGTAACAGAAGGCGTGGCCGCGCAGTGCCCCGCCCACACTAGCCCTTGAGGTGAGTCCGAGCCAGACACTCACCACCAGCACCTCCATCTCCTCTCGGGAAGGGCTTTCCTGGCCACCGGAGGCTACTCTGGGGGACCTGACAGCCTCTAGGACTGAGTATACTGACAAATGTTACACAAGCAACAAAACCTAATTTGTCAATTTCTCTGGTGTCAATATGTCTACAGTGAATGATCTCATGCTGCCAACCTAAGATCAACCAACTCACAAAATTCCTGAAACTTCAACAATCAGCTCCTGGAGTTCGGATGAATAAGTTCCCACACATCACTGCAGTCCTCAGGTGGGATAACCCTGGGGTGTAATTTAATACTTTCCCAGAGTCCCCTGGTTGGATGAGGGCCTGATTGCCCATGGAGCTAACTTGAGTGATAAAGCACTCCATCACCTACCAGTGTTTCCTGGGGTCACCTCTCAAATGAACTACTTTGCCTCAGGCCTTGCCCCTGGGGGATTCCACACCAAGGGAGAAAGCTATACCCTTTAAAGAGAGATTGTCTAGGTATAAATCCTGGCCTGGCCAGCTGTGTGTGTGACGATGGAAAAGCAAGGACGCCTCTCTGTGCTTCAGTGTTCTCCCCTGGAAATTGAGGATAATCATACTGACAGGGATGTCGAGAGGACTCAGTGAGATCCATGCAAATGTATACCATCAGAACCTTGTGTACGCTAGGCACTCAACCGATTGTAGCTATTTATTATTATTGTTAGAAAACAACAGATCCAGGAAATCCACTGTCTTGATACAGCCTAGACTTGGAGAACAATTTTATCTACTCAGCTGTCTTCTCTTTTATTTTTTTCCTAAAATTAATTGATTTACAATACCCCATTGTGCTTGACCTTGCCCCTGCCATATTCTCAAACAGAACCGTCTCAGTACAGAGTGTCCATGTCATGATGCATCTGGATGCGCACTAGATGTGTGACAGAACCACACACCCAGACACGACGGCCCCAGAGAGGCTGCAGCACAGGCTGCCTGCTTCCAGGTGAGCCAACGTCATGTGCCTGGAATCTTCCACAGGTGTGAACAGTAGGGAACACAGTGAAGGCGCAACCAAATCCACCTCGTTGGGTCTGACGGCACTCCATACCACAGGCCAGCCGTACTGGGGAGCTGAGGCAGAGCTGGGGCGGTCACTCACCCTGGGCACCAAACTGGCTCTCCTGGAGCACGTTGATAATGTCCTCTCTTGGAGGTAAGCTAGGAAATTTTTCTTCCAGGATAGAAAGAATTTCCTCCTGCTTCTCTGAGATCTTCTCGGATTCCATGGTCATGTACTTGAAAAGGATGCTACCTAAAAGGCATGAATAAAAACAGCCTGAAACATTCCACCCAAGCCAGGAAGGCAGCCAGAAAAAGCAGTGTTTTCTGGCCCATAGTCTATGCTTCCACTTCCCGTCTCTTGCCTGGAGCAGGGGGCTCCACAGTGTAGCATTCAAGAGGTAATTTACAGAAAATCCTGAGACCATCTGCCCTGCCCCTTTATTCTCCGGGTATTAATCTCTACAATTTAACTGACCATAGCACACTCTATGGCACAGAGTTTATGGATAAAGGAAGAAAATATATAGCTTCTCCCCACCCCACACAAACACATAAAAATAATAAACGTTGGTTTTAACTGATTTCAGAATGTAACTTGATGATAAACTGCAATATTTTCAATATTCCCTGTAAGAGACCACAGACATTGTTCCCATTCATCCCATTACTGATGTCACATATGAACTTCCTCCTTTGAACAACTAAATGCATACTCCCACTGTCAGTAGCAAAGGAATCTGACAAGAAGGTGACACCTGGAGTCCACCCCCAATCTTCCACGTACCACACACAGTTTTACAGTTAGTTACTATTATCTCATCATAAGGATTTGCAAGCTGGTTCTAAATCACAGGTTTCAATGACAAAGTAATCTGCCAATATGAATGACCAACCTCTCTCCAAGTCCTGGAATTTCTATGCATAATCTCACTATGAAAGAGAAGAGTTACCACCTGTCACATTGCTACAGATAAATTGGCACATAAAATTTCAATGTAAAGAGAATAAGAAAATCACTGGGGAAATACACAATACTCTGAGTCTAGGCCAGAATTTAGGTGTCAGCAAAGGTTTCCCAGAGTTAATTCAAGCCGAGACTTGAAAGATAATTAGGGTGTTAAGGTGAAGGCAAGGTGAGGGAGATCACATGCAAAGGCACTGAGGTGGGAGAGGGTTTGGCCAGTCCAAGGAATAGAAAGCAATTAATTAGAGCTAGATAGTATGATTGTAGGGGGAAAATGTTGAAAAAGTAGGTTGGAGAGGTTGACAGGGGCCTGGTCATACAGGGCCTTAACGCCATCCTAAAGTTTGTCTTTATATTCAAAGGGAAATGGGGTGATTCATGAGCTTTAAGCAGGGAGAGGTAACATTCTCAAACTTACATTCTGTAAGAATCACTCTGGCTACCAAATAGAGAATGCATCAGATAGGGCATAGCAGGAGAACGGAAAGCTGTTTTAGATGAGAACTAAGGAAGGAGCAGTCGGCATACAGAAAGATGAACACATTCAAGACAAATTATCGTTTAGTGGAGAGTAGCCAACTGGATTCTGAGTGTACCTTTTGCTCTAACAATTTCTGACATAAAATCCAAAATATTTTTTCTCTTGTTCTGCATTATTTCTTAAGTTAGAGTATTACACCATGTCCAGCCAGGATATAGTGGGCACACAGCTGTGCCATTGTTACGTCACACTGAGAAAATAGCTTTTCCTATTGCATTTCAACTGCAGCAACACCATTCTGGAAGGAAAACGTCCCCTCCAGCAGTGTTATCTCTCTACATGAAGGACTTTCGAGGCAGTTCCCCAAAAGATTCTTTATTTTCTTAAAAGCATTCCCTTGATGCAAAGTGTTCCTTGGCCCCAGGAAGAGGAGAGGGATTTTTCCACCCTTTGTTAAGGCAGTGGTGAATCTGAAATTCAAAAAAGACCCTCACCTGCTTTTGGCTCTGATAGGCTACTTGTACCAAGAACAAAGAGAAAAGCTAGATCAAGTACAAAAAATTTTTGTGAAGTTGTCAGTTACCAGGTGACTATGTTAGAATCTAAGATCCTGGAGAGAAGGTAAGTGCATGAGGTGAACCCAACATTTGGTGTTGCTTTTCCCCTCACAGTATTTTCTAATTCAAAAGTTGTAGCCAATAAGCTGAGAAGGTTGGCAGACCTAACAGTTTCACATGGGGTAAAGAGACAAACATCGGAGTTTTGGGCTCTCCAAAGAGAGTCTTGGTTAAATATCTCACATTTTGAGATGGGACTCTTGGAGAGTTAAATCCTTGAATAAATATTGGAAAATTATAATTTACAGGGCAAATTTGACCCACTGTCCATTTTTACAAATAAAGTTTTATTGGACTATAACCACACCCATTAATTTACATATTGTTTATAGATACTTTTGTGCTTCAGTGACAGGATTAAGTAGTTTAAAGAGAAAACATAGGCCTGCAAAGCCTAAAATATCTACTATCTCACCCTATGCAGAAACATTGTGCTGATCTCTGCCATAGGAGAGGGGTAAGGCAAAAATAGAGTAGTCTTGCCCTGGGCATGTGGCTCAGTTAGTTGGAGTGTTGTACCGTACACCAAAAAATGGTGGGTTCAATTCCTGGTCAGGGCACATACCCAGTTTTGAGTTTGATGTCTCTCTCTCTCTCTCTCTCTCTCTCTCTTTCTCTTTCTCTCTCTTTCCCTCCTCTCTCTAAAATCAGTTTTTTAAATCTTTTTTTGATGTATAAATATATATAAATAATTTTAAAAATTTCTTATTTATTAATTTATTTTTATTACAGATGTTTCTCATTTTTCCCCCATTGACAACCTCCCCTTCCCCCCCCACCCCCTCCCCAGGTTTGCAATTTTTTTAATCTTAAAAAAATAAAAATAGGGCAGTCTTTATGAAGATTGAAATCCTGATTCAAATCAGCTCAAACTCAGAACAGACGAAGTTTATTTGACTCTCCTAATTGCCTTTAGGGTGGGAAAGTAAATTCTGTCTAGAGCAAAAGAATTTCATCATATATAGCCTCATCATCTCTATAATTTCTATATATGATATTCAGAAATCAGTAGAAAATTACCAGGCATAAAAAAATATGACTAAATAACTGGAAACTCCAGAGGAAAAAAATTCATTAGGAAAAGAGTGTAAAGAGAACTATAGGATTTTTTTAAAAAATTGCTGGAGAATTACAATAGAGAATTAGATTCTATAAATAAAATATTCAAAAGAAAATTTAAAAGTGTTAATTTAATAACAATTTATTAACTCAAAAAATGTATTTAAGAACAGATGAAACACACTGAGGAAAAGGTTAGTGACTGAAAAATACCTGAGAAGAAAATAGCCATACTGAAGAGTGGGGAGAAAATGAGATTAAAAACATCAAGAAGAGCCCTGGCCGGTTTGGCTCAGCAGTTAGAGCGTCGGCCTGCTGTCCTGAGAGACCCGGGTTCGGTTCCCGCTAAGGGCACGTACCTCGGTTGCAGTTTGTCCCCGGCCCTGGTCGGTTGTGCGGGTGGCAGCCACTCGATGTGTCCCTTTCACATTGATGCTTCTCTCTCTCTCTCTCTGTTCCTCTCTCTCCCTCGCACTCTACCTGAACAAAAAATGGAAAAATGTCCTCGGTGAGGTAAAAAAAAAACAACAACAACAACAAAAAAAAACATCGAGAAGAGCATGAGACACAGGGAACATAAAGAAAAGGTCAAACATATCTGTAATAGTTGTTCCCCCTGGAGAGGAACGAGAAACTGAGACTTAAATAACATTTGAAAAGGCAAAACATGGCCAATCATTTTTCTTTCTTCTTTTTTTTTTTAATCCTTACCCAAGGACACTTTTCCATTAATTTTCAGATAGAGTGGGAAGGAGAGAGAGAGAGAGAGAGAGAAAGAGAGAGAGAGAGAGAGGGAGAGAGAGAGAGAGAAACATTAATGTGAAAGAACACACCAACTGGTTGCCTCCTGCACAACCCCAACCAGGACCAGGGATCAAACCACAAACGAGATAGGTGCCCTTGACCGGAATCGAACCCATGAGCCTTTGGTCTGAGGGTGGATGCTCTAACCAATGAGCAAAATCGGCCAGGGCTGGCCAATCATTTTTCAAAATTAATGAAAATATTACTCTAATATTTAAGATGAAATATGAACCCAAATCAGTATAAATGCAAAGAAAAACACCTCTAGGCACATGACAATAAAACTGAAAAAATTACAAAGAAAAAACAATTTACATCAATCAGAGGAAAAAAGACATTCTTGTCAAGGTAACTACAATAAAACTAAGAGCTGACCTCATCTAAAGTTATAAAAGTCAGAAGACAATGGAATTATATAATCAGTGTGCTGATATAAAGTAATTACTGATCTAGAATTCTATACTAAGTGAAAACATTTTTAAAAAGCAAAGTAAAGACATTTTCAGAAAAATGAACTGGAAGTATTTGTCACAAGAAGATCCACCCTAAGAAAAAAAAAAAACAGTAAAGGCAGAGGAAAATTATTACAGATGGCAACAAAGAAGTACAGAAGGGAAAGAAAGACATTGGAGAGTGTAAATACGTGGGAAAAAATAAATCCATATATTCAGTGTATAAAACAATGATATATCTATGGAGTTTGAAATATATGTACAGCCCTGGCCGGTTGGCTCAGCGTTTGGAGCGTCGGCCTGCGCACCAGAGAGTCTCAGATTCGCTTCCAATTAGGGGCACGTACCAAAAAAAATAAAATATATGTACAAATAAAAAACATTTTAATGGTAAAAACTGCAGAGATGACAAAGTAGAGATAAATTGTTCTAAAGTTCTTTGATTGTCAGGGAAGTGGTTAAAATATAAATTTAAATGAGATTTTAATTGTATAAGTTTTATTATAACTACTAAAAAAATTCATAACTAACAAACTGATGGAGGGAAATGTGATAACAAAATACTTATTTCATATAAAGAAATGAAAGGAAAAGGGGATAATGTGAGACAAGTAGCAAAATAATAAATTTAAACCCAAATATTAGAACAGTTACATTAAATACAAAGAGACAATTAGTATTTGGTGGGTATAGAGTTTCAGTGTTGCAAACTGAAAAAGGTTTAGAGATCTGTTGCCCATCATTGTGACTATACTTTACACTATTGAACTGTATAATTAAAATGGTTAAGATTTTTTTTTTGTTTTTTGGTATGTGCCCCTAGTGGGAACTGAACCCAGGACTCTCTGGTCTGCAGGCCAACGCTCCACCTGC